CACAGCCTTGCCTCACATTAACTCTTTGCTGCCTGAGAAGTTCAAAGCCTTTTCTCCTGCTGTGTAAAGAGCTTCCCATGTTCAGCTTTTCAGCAGCGCAGGGGCAGAGCGTAGCACTCCAGCTAAGCCAGCATCTGGTACTGCTACAACGATGGAAAGCTACTGTCTCCCCATCCTTTGCTTTCGGCAGAGCTGAAATCCGTAAATCTGGATGTTCTAAGTAGGAGTCATCCAGGAGTTACGGCCAAGAGAAACCGTCAGGTGGATAAGGATCAGGGCTCCGGGGATCCATGTGCCTCTCTGTTACCACTGAATAAGAACAGACAAGTTATTTGGGTTCTGACAGCTCCACATTTCAAACGAGTGAAAGCCAGTTACATGAGGGTGCTGCCAAGGGATGCAGTCAAGTGTTTGGCGGTCCTTACTGCATAGACTCATATGTTCCACCAACCATCCCACCACTGAATGAGCTCAGAGAAAGAGGGCACTGCAGTCCTCAACCCATGGAAGCGGCATCCAGTTCCCACAGACACAGCCAAATGTGCGAGCCTCACCAAGCAACTCAACCATCAGATTAGCCAAGCAATCTGAGGCTACCTAAAGCAAAACTAGAGAGGAAGAAGTGCTGCTACCGTTTCTTCTGCAGAGCGGAGAAGTTTTTTTTGAAGGTAGGGCTGATCTGGTTAAGTAGTTCCACCAAGGAATGACTTAGGAAACTGGGATTTGCAGGTTTAGGATTGAAGTTGTATGCAGTAGACCTGCAAGAAAAAAAAAAAAAAAAAAAGAGAGAGAGATACCTGTGACAACAGTGTGTAAGACTCGTACCACATTCCTACAGTGTAGGAAGAGTGAGCGCTCCTCACGCACACACTGCACGAAAGGCTGCAGGACACGCTGCTCTCTGCAGAACGGAGCCAAGCGGCACCTGGGCTGCCGGGCTGCGAGAGCCCCCTCCGGGGCCGCCGACTAGTCGGTCATTAGCAGCCCTGGGCCTGGGGCCTCGCAGACTGGACAGCAAAGCTGATTGAGACTCTCTTCAGCCACTGCTGTGTTAAAAAGAGGCTCTTATTTCCACAGCTTGGAAGGGCTGATTTCACGAGAGCGCTTTCCAAGCACACCTATAGGACCATAGCTTAACGGAGAACCTAACTATACCAAGCAGTAGGTGCCCTCTTCAGACATCAGCTCTGCTCACGGGAGACCATTTGAACAGTCCCCTGTCCCTGAGTCATGGGCCAGGTTTTGCCAAACTCCTTAAGGCCATTTGTTTCATACTCCGGTTGTGTCGCTTGCTTTCCAGGAACCTGCAGCCAGTGATGCGTATCCTTAAAATCACTGCTCTTATTCAAGTAAAATCATTACTCAGTTCTGCAGATCTGGTAGGAAACCACAGATAACAAAGAGAGAGTCTTTCTCAATTATTTCTTCCACAAATTAGTCTATCACAGAGCGCAATGGAATGGAAGAAACGTGCTTAATTTTTACATTCTTCTGTATTTTAAGCTCTCCTTCCCCTCCTCAGGGAGCACTATTCCTGTTCTGGGAATTGCAGCCTTACACCATCTCAGTCCTGCAGTTACGATCGCCCAGGCGATCTGTATTGCAGAATCGTGACCACCAGAGATATTTCTGAACTGATGGTTGCTCATAGCTGACTGTACAGCTGGGTTTTTATTTTAGACTTGTCTTCATCTACCCTCAATTCAGCAGGTTTCTTTAATAAACTACTGGCCAGATAAAGCCTGGGCCTCTTTTGCTTTCAAGTACAACAGTCACTTTAAGGATCTCTCACATCGCTGTAAAACAAGATTGCAAGTCAGACCTGTGCCCAGTTTAGGAAGATCTGCTAGTCTGTGCTCTTGCTTTAGGGCAAAATAAGTTAGTTGCCGTGGTCAGGAAGGAATATCCTCCCAACTCAAAATGCTTTAATTAGCTGACAATACTACGGGAGGCTGCATCTTCCCTAAAGCATCAGCCATTTATCCACTGCAGAAGAATAGTACCAGGCACGACTGAACAGCCTAGTCCAGCATGACAACTTCTATACACCCATGATGTGAGCAGTGAATTCAAATAGGCCATTTTCCACAAAAAGAAAAAAAAAAAAAAAAAAAAAAAGCCCTTTTCAGTTGTCTAGTGGAAGCTCTCTGCAGGGCAGGACAAGAGGAGTCTTAGCTGCTCACTGATTCAAGTAAAATCCTCTGGTGGACGCAGTGATGCTGACGTGCCGATCCTCCACTGTGATCACATACAGGTACATGAGATCTCCGTGCATTTTCCGGTTACCAGGCGGAGGGTTCCAGCCGCTCATCGTCAATACCTTTAGGCACTGCAAAGGCTATGAAAGAAGGCAACAGAAGCAATTCCTGTCAGTAGGAATTAGTTCCCTTGAGTGACAAAGCCATGCAATGTGCAGCCTAAATCCCTTTTACTTGCTGCCCTTGCTTGGTTCAGGGACAGACCTTACGAGAAAACTGGTCCTAAGAACACAGCTTTCCTCAAACCATCTGCAGTGCAGTGTTTTGCCTCAATCTGCTTCTCACACCGTAAGACACAGATGAAAACAGACACCCTAGGCCTTTGTGCTGCACAAGGCATGGGTTTCTGGATGCTCAAGTTTTCAAATAACATCTTCTAAAGATGCTGGAAGTGGGAGGAAACTTCAAGGCAGTTACAGTGATCTGCAGATCCCGTCTCCTGAACCCTGCAGAGAACAACAGTTCTCCCTTCCCCACTACCCCCAACACCCCTCGCTCTGCAGGTGTCCACGCTCAGTGTCCAGTGTTTGGCACACAAGTTCTTGACCTTTATTCTTTTGGTTAAGCAGTGCTATTCCAGCACTCATTAAGCATCAAGCAGAGCAAATCCCAAAGTCCAGTGCAGCTTTCAGTCCCTGAACACTGCTTTGCTGCAAGGAATGTGCTGATAGCTGTTTAATGACACAGGAGAACTCTACCTTCCAGTCTCTGTTCTGGGGCTGAAGGGCACACAGGGGTCTCTCTTTGCTACCTGGCAGGATATGTTCAGGAGGGGTGCAGTCAATTTGTTCCATTTCGGTACCTTTCTTCTTTCGTTTTCCACTCTCTAGAACAAAAACATCAGAAAATTAGTGCTGAAGAACACAGCCCTACTTGATTCCCCCTCAATTATTCAGGAATGCAAAAGTGCTGCGTGTTTCTCTACACTCCTGAATGATGTGGAACAGCACAAGGTTACGATGTGTTTTAATGAAACAAAGAAGAAAGATTAGTGAAAACGGTCACTGTGCTGGAGAAGCCTTTTGGCCCCTTACCTCCCAGATCTCCGTCAGTGAAGACACTGAGGAATGACAGGGAATTACAGTCCACACCATTGAAAGCATCTGACGGGTCAAGGCTCTTCAGAAGGTCTCGAATGTGACGTACGTGTATCCTGGCCTCTCGCACCGTGTATGGCTCTGACGGGCAGAAACAGAGGAAAGAAAGTGCAGTTACACATTTGCTTACCCCTTTGGCACATGGGTCCCACACAGCAGAGCAGCCTTCAGGCATCCAGGTACAGTCCTTACGAAAAGCTTCATTCATTCCCTCCCAAGGCTTCAAGGAACTTGCCTTCCACCACTTTTAGTAATGAACCCTCCTGCAGTCCTTCTATGGTTTTCAGTTCAGCAAAGTTATCGAGGACGTTGCCATCCAGCTGCAGAGAGAAGCAGGTTCGGTGGCAGGTATCCTCTCGGTCCATCAAAACTTGGTGGATTTCTTGCACCATCTCTTGAGGAGACACCTTAAGAAAGAAATACCCAGCCAGTTATCCTCGGCCAACTCCTCCTCCAGCCCACACAGGGTCACGCGCACTAGAAATATCTTCTAGTAAAAGTGCAACATGTCACCAAGCTTGAGTGCAGCAGGCATGGAAGGCTGCCCTCGAGCACACATGAAATATCCTCCTGCAGTCCTGCCAAATCTTGCCCCCCTGCGCAGAATCAAGCGCCTCTTGTAACTCTTCAAGCTTGCAAAGGCAAACGCAAGCTCTTCCTCCCAGGAAGACCCTTCCTGTCCCTCCTGGGACGGTATTCCCACCTCTCCCGCTGGGATCGGCGCCTTGGCTCCAACCTGCTGGGCTCAGCACCCACGGGTGTCGCAGCCCTGTGCTACGCTGCGCACAGGCCCAGGGCACAGACGGCAAGAGGGCAGCAGAGCTCGCCGCGCTGCCCAGGACGGTGCCCAGCTCCCCACGCGCCAGCCTGCCCCGGCACGGAGGTACCTGCAGGGAAAAGGGCTCTATGCCGGGCGCGCAGATCTTGACGGTGAATCCCGTGTCCTGAATGACGATGACCTCCTGGTCGTTGCTGTCCTCCCCCGGCTCGGCCTCCTCGTGGCCGTTCTGCCGGGCGTCCTTGTCGCCCTTGAGGCTCTCGTGGGGGCCGCTGCCGTTCATGAGCGCCACGCCGGACGGGGGCTCTGCGGAGGGAGAGCGCGGGGTGATGCCGAGCGCTGGCACGGGGCTCCGCAGACGCACAACGTCCCCGGCCAACCCCGCCAGGCGAGTCGGGGGTCTCACCCCAGCGAGCGTTTTACGCCCTTCACTAGCCCTAGGACCGCCAGGCCCTGCCCTCCATCCCCTCGCGGCTCATTCACGCGCTGCCGCTTGCCGGCGGGGTTGCACCTTCCGTACGCTGCACGCGGAGCGGCAGGGAGGGAGAGCAGGAGGGATGGGTCAGCGCCCAACACACCAGCCCTGTCTTAGCCCTCCTCACTGACGAGGCAGGCGTGGGGGTTTGCGGCCGGCGGGCGCCGTATCCTCT